ATAGATAGATGGGGTGTGTGGGGATAGATAGATAGATAGATAGATAGATAGATAGATAGATAGATAGATAGATAGATAGATAGATAGATAGATGGGGTGTGTGGGGATAGATAGATAGATAGATAGATAGATAGATAGATAGATAGATAGATAGATAGATATTATCGTGACGGAGCTAGCTTTCTAGACAGATGGAATGGACTCAGGACTGGTAATTTCTCACTTTGCTTTTCACATTTGAGCTCCCTTCATCTATTTGCGCCCCCCAACACAGAGGGGGTTAAGGCCGGGGCACCTCGGGGGGCAAAGATTCCTTGTGCCCCCACATCTGCATTGGGCTTGGAACCCCTGAGCCCAGCTGGGTCCAGCCATGACCCACCAGCCCAGCCTGACCTCGTCCGAGCAGAGCCCGTCCATCCCCGGCGGGTACCGACGCTGCTCTGGGTTTCGCCGCTCGGGTCTCTCACTCAGGACCCTCATCACCTTTGGTAACATTTTAATTCACGGCTGGGCGTGGGCCCTGCATCAGGGCAGAGGAGGTGCGGAGCACAGAGACATGGCTGGGGTGGGGGAGCCTCAGTCGCCCCACGTCTGGGCCAAGACAAAACACCGAAGTGGTGCAATCCGGCAACGTCTGGCGGGGCTCAGAGCTCCACTTTGTCTATCGTCTCCGGAATCCAGGGCCTGAAAGGGGAGACTCTCGTGTACACGGCAGGGGGGGTGCCATCCTTGGATCCCCAGGAGACGATGCCCTGGGCTTCTTTGCCGCACACCAGAGACGCCCCAGAGTCACCCTGCGACAGGGGAAAAAAGACAAATTACAGAAGTGAACCCAGCTCCTCCTTTGCACAGCCCCAAGCGCCGAGTGACCCCACCTCTGTCCTCTCTCTGAAGCCTAACACCAACCACCACTTTCTCAGGGGGGTTTGAAGGCAGCGGGAGGGGGGATTTACCTGGAAAGGGGATCTGCCTTCCTCTGGGTCCCCCACACACATCATGGTGGTGGCGTTATAGTAGCGCCATGGCCCCCCACGCTTCCTCCGACAGTCGGCATCACCACCACGTCGGCCTCCTGCAGCGTCTCCGAGATCTGCTTGTTGGTTGCACTCGTCTGACCCCAGCCGGCCACGCTGCACCTGCTCTTTGGATCCACACGCTGCTGGGCCGGGGGCAGGGAGATCAGGCCGACGTACTTGGTACGATGGCCCTTGTCCTGCAGCTGCACACAGGCAAGGACATAAGGACAAGGGAGAAGATGAGGGTCAGAGATGGATGAGGCCAATTAGAAAGAACCGACAGAACATGTACAGACATGACCTCAGTGGGAGTGGGGGATGGGAGGGGGGCGGTACCTGCAGCAGTGTGAGGTCACTGGGAGTGGGGGATGGGATGGGGGCGGTACCTGCAGCAGTGTGAGGTCACTGGGGGTGGGGGATGGGATGGGGGCGGTACCTGCAGCAGTGTGAGGTCACTGGGGTGGGGGATGGGATGGGGTGGTACCTGCAGTATCATGATGTCGTTGTTTAAGGTCTTGCTGTTGTACTGCGGGTGGGGGATCTGCCGTTGCACAGGGATCACTTGCTGGCTCGGTTCCCATTGGCTGACGTTATGGGCTCCCAGGACGACAGTGATGCTTCTGTGAAAGCTGAGAGCAGCACGTGGGGTGTTAGGGGCAGGGGTCAGAAACGTGTTTCTGGCTCATAAACATTGGGCTTGTGGGAACGGGGCAGCCTGGGGCTCTCGGGCCAGGATCTTAGATTCATTCTGTTGTCTTTGAGCTTGGGCATCCATTCCCCCCAGCCAATTCCCCCCTCCCAGTTGATCCAGGCAGGGGTCCATGCCCAGCCCCCCAGCCCAACACCCCATAGACCTGTCTTGAGTCTATGACGCATCCCTGCCCCACACTACAATCCCATTGATGTACCCAGGCTGGGGCTGGGCCTTGGGTTGAGAGGCCCCTAGAGACTCAATAAAACCCCCTTGAGCAGATCAGACCCCTGGGCTCTTCTCCCCCAACCTGGCCACCCCTTGCCGCTACACCGGGGTCAGAGCTCCCAGCTCCCCTGCTCACGCTGACCCCACCTACCGTCATGTCCCAGCCCAGAGGCACTTACTCTCCCTGGCAACGAGCAGCCGTCAGCACAAAGTTCTCCGCCACCAGGAACCCACCACATCTAATCCTCTCATCTCTGCGTTGTATTTCCAGATACGCCACGTAGGGCCTGGAGTGGGGCCAGGCTTCCTTTCCCCCCGATGATCTCACCTGGGGGGAGGCCAGGTCCATACAGAGAGCCCCCTCAACTCGCTGGGCTGGGATCCAACTCCCCATCCACACTGATAGCCTCAAAGGGTCTTCCCTCCCTCTCTGATCCTCCCTCAGAGCATCCGTGTCTCTGGATCTCTGCCCCCTGCCCAGCTCTGCCCCACACCGGGCCCGCATTGGCTGGAAGGGAAATCTGCAACTCTAACCTCACTGAGTGGGCAAATCGGGAGCGGGGCACTATTCACCCTGCTTCGCCTTGTGCTCACCGCACTGTGGGCCAAAGTCACCCCAGGCTGGTCCAGCCACTCCCCAGCAGGGCACGGACGGAGCTTCTCTGCATGTTTCTCCACCCAACCACAGAGATGAGGCCGACTCCACGCCCGACTCACCGAAATACTGGTGCCAGGGGAAGTGGCTTTTATTGAATGAACCCTACGCCAGGGAACTCTCTCTCCCCTCCATCCTGGGTATTTTTTTTTCTTCTGCTCCTAGTTCTTTCCTTCCAGTCCTGAGATATTTCTAAGGACAATTTTCAGGCTTTGGTGGCTGAAAAATGTTAGTGTTGGGATTGAAAAATGCCAAGTGAGAATGTCTCTGGGGAAAACAAGGATCTGCTCGGGAGATCTACTCGGAGAAGGCGCCAGGCCGGCAGGCTGGAGTGTTGGAAAATCTCCTCTATAAGAAATCACACCGATTGGCTTTATGGTGGGACCTAGACCCAGGTCAGGGACCTCTTACTGGGATAGTCACTGGGCCGACCCACAACCCCTTCCCTGAACAGCGTCGAGTTCAGAAACAGAATCATTTTCATCTTTCAATGGGGAACTGTATTCCCCGGGAGTGTATTCCTAAGGGGTTTAGGTGCCAAATCTCCACCAGCAACCCATGGTAACAAAAGCCCCAGAGACAGGTTTAATTTCCCCCCCGAGATCCTGGGCTGAGTTGGGAAAGGATCCCAAGTTTCTCGGGTCCGAGCCCTTCCCCTTAGCTCCCTGCTCTTCCTGCCCCTCTCCACCATCTGCTCCTTGTAACTC